GGGCCGTCTGTGGTGGAGGCCACAGACGGCCGGGGGCATTTCTTTCCCAGGCCTCCAGGGGGCCCTGTGATACTTAATGTTTCATTCTAAATTTTTAACTGATTTTGATGATGGACTAGAGACGAGTCCAGGTTGTCGCCCCCCCGCCCCCCGCCCCCCTGACCTCCTGACCCCCTGACGACTAGAAAAGGAGCAGAGGTTGAGGATGAATAAATCGGACGTTTCTAGAATTTCTAGTGTTTCTAACGTCCGTCCTCAGTTGTTAACAGTTTATGTTGACATGAAGTTCAACTGAGGAATGTGAGAAGTCACACACACACACACACACACACACACACACACACACACACTGGTGGTTTACTGTTAGAATCCTCAGGTTGGGTGGCAGATTAATGAGGAACATGGAGGTGGTCTGGTGTGTGTGTGTGTGTGTGTGTGTGTGTGTGTGACGGGCCCACGGTTCTGGGTCCAACTCCAGCCCCGACCCCAAGACAAACACATCACACCCGTGCCCAGGCGCCCCCTACAGGAGCATGGGGAAACCATTGGTTTGTGGGGAGGGTGATGTGGGGGTGGGGGCAGTTGTNCACCATTACTGAACCAGCAGACTCTGACCGAGGATCTGGACGTCACAGTGGTGAGTTCACTGACATCAGGAGTTATGGCCGCTGAGACACAGACAGACACAGACACAGACACAGACACAGACACAGACACAGACACAGACGTGTGGACGTGGGCTGAGTGCAGCTCCAGCTGTAGCTGAACCACAGACTCAGACAGACACAGACACAGACTGAATCTCCTGCTCTATTCACGTCTGTTAAAAACACACCCACAGTTTGGCCCAATCTGTGGGCTGCAGTGGTCCAGGCCTGGTACCAGTATGTGTGTGTCACTGCTGCTGCTGCTGCTGCGTTTAAGTCACGTAAAACAAACTGCAGGGACCAACCTGCCCCCCCCACGCCTCCCCCCCCCCAGGTGAATTAAAGTTGTAATTTTAACATGTAAATGTTCATTTTTCTGCAGTGTTTTTTTCACACCTGAAGTCAGGAGTGTTGAAGCCCCCCACCCTGGACGGTCAGGCCCAGCAGCCCTGACCACAGGGTCCTTACTGTCAACGGTTGTTTCTCTCTGTCATGTGACCCTGGGATGGACCACTGTGATTGGCTGAGACCCTGACAATGACAAGTAGAAGAGAAGTCGATTAAAAGTTATGCTTTATATCAGCTGGGGGTTTGAATCCCAGCCCACCTGGGGGGTGAGGGGTGAGGGTGAGGGGTGAGGGGTGAGGGGTGAGGAGGGTCAATTAACTGAACATTTAGTCGAACATGTCGGTAAGTTTGTTAAACAATGTTTGATTTAAATACTGCAGTGAAAACACCATGTGACAGTAAATCAGAGCAGAACATTAAAAGCCCCCCCCCACTCACCCCCCCCTCCCCCAGGGTGATGCCAGCAGATAAAACTCCCTTAAGGAGAGGAGGAGCCGTTGAGGAGGCCGTAAAATATCAAATACCGATGTCTTCGAGGAAACGAACCCGATCCAGAGACCGTGTCTAAATTTGGATCAGTTTATGTTTGTGAGTCTGTGATGGTGTCAGGTGAACCTCTTCACAGCCCCCTACTGGTGACCTTGGACCAAGCAACACGGTAGAAACACTGGATTTGTCCTTGTCTGTGCCGACTGGAGACCAAGAAGAAAAAAAGAAGAAACTCACCACAAACTGAACTGTAATTAATCAATAATTATTGAATGAGAAATGATCAATGAGTCAAATTAATCTGATTAACTCTGTTGAACCATTTTAGGTGGTGAGTGTGTGTGGGTGCTTCAACCTCTGGTCAGCGGCCTGGCTTGGATCAGTCCAGTCGACCAGTGAAACACTGACCTCTAGCTGCAGTATTGTTTATATTAACGAGTCACTGTGATTAATGACGTTAATAATGAGTTGTTGGACAGATGCTCTCATCAGCGCGGTGCGTTCAGGGACCAGCGCCACAGTGTTGACCACCTCGCCTCAAACAATGTGCTATTATGGAGTTGTTTTTTCTCTGTACGTGGTGACTCCATAAAGCCCCCCCCCCAACCCCCCCGTCTCGTCACTGTCCATCTAAACACCGAGGCCTCACAGCACAATGGGGTGATTGAATGATAAGGGGGGGGGTGTGGGGG